GTCTCTATTCAAGCCTAAGTTAATTGTATCCAATTTGCAAATGAATTCCAATTCAGCAGTCTCTCGCTGGACTCTGGTTTTGAAGTTTTTCTGTTGTAATATTGCAACTTTCATGTCTGTAATCGCGTGACCAGCAGGAGAATGGGGTGGGGGGAGAGAAAAGAGAGCAGGAGAGTGGGGTGGGGGGGAGAGAAAACCTGGATTTGTGCTGGAAATGGCCCACCTTGATTATCATACACATTGTAAGGAGAGGGATCACTTTAGATAAGCTATTACCAGCAGGAGAGTGGGGTGGAGGGAGAAAACCTTTTGAAGTGATAAACACCCATTTTTTCATGGTCTGTGTGTATAAAAACATCCTCACTGCATTTTCCACTTTTATGCATCCGATGAAGTGAGCTGTAGCTCACAAAATCTTATGCTCAAATAAATTGGTTAGTCTCTAAGGTGCCACAAGTACTCCTTTTCTTTTTGCGAATACAGACTAACACGGCTGCTTCTCTGAAACCTGTCATTATGCAAGTTTTCTTTAGCAAGGGCTAAAGAGGTTCGGAGGGTGTTTTGTAGGTTGGTTACAAAGTCCAGAATGTTAGTTCCTGGAGAAGGTGTAAATCCCTCCCATTGCTGCTTCACCAACTGTAATGGCCCCTTAACCTCACGGCCATATACAAGTTCAAGTGGGGAAAACCCTAACCTGGGATGTGGTACAGCTCTGTAGGCAAAGAGCAACTGCTGCAGCACTAGGTCCCAATCATTGGAGTGCTCATTTATAAATTTATGTATCATGGCCGCCAAAGTTCCATTAAACTTCTCCACCATGCCATTTGTTTGATGATGGTAAGGAGTGGCAACCAAGTGATTTACCCCATGAGCTTCCCAAAGGTTTTCCATAGTTCCTGCCAGGAAATTAGTCCCTGCATCTGTGAGGATGTCGGAGGGCCAACCTACCCTGGCAAAAATGTCTGCTAGAGCCTGACACACACTTTTAGCCCTGGTGTTGCTTAGAGCTACTGCTTCCGGCCATCGGGTGGCAAAATCCATGAAAGTCAGTATGTACTGCTTTCCTCTGGGTGTCTTTTTTGGAAAAGGACCCAGAATATCCACAGCTACTCGCTGAAATGGAACTTCAATGATGGGGAGTGGCTGGAGAGGGGCTTTGACCTGGTCTTGGGGTTTTCCCACTCTTTGGCATACTTCACAAGACCGGACATAGGTAGAAACATCCTTGCCCATTCCCTCCCAGTGGAATGACCCCCCCAAATGGTCTTTGGTCCTGTTCACCCCAGCATGGCCACTAGGGTGATTGTGGGCTAAGCTCAAGAGCCTGGCCCGGTATTTAGTTGGAACTACCAACTTTCTCTGAGGATGCCAGTCTTCCTGGTGTCCTCCAGAAAGAGTTTCCTTGTATAAAAGTCCTCTTTCTACAACCAACCTGGACGGGTCACTGGGGCAAGGTGGGTTGCTGGAGAATGGAGTGGTGGGATGATAAGGGGTCTGGACGGTTCTTTGGGAAGTAGGTGGGGCCTTGGCCGGCCCCCGGTAATAGGGTGTGGTCTGGGGTTGTCCCTTCTCGTCTCTGCTCCAACTGCGACCAGTTTTCTTCTTCTCTGCCACCTCCACCCATCTGGCTCCAATCTCTCCTGCCTCAATTACAGTTTTGGGCTTCCCATCTAGGATGTATCTTTCTATTTCCTCAGGAACACCCTCTAAGAATTGTTCCATTTGCATTAGGAAGGGCAAATTTACTGGAGATTCAACACTTGCTCCTGATATCCAGGCATCCCAATGTTTCACAATGTGGTAGGCATGTTGGGTAAATGACACGTCTGGTTTCCACCTTAGGGCTCTGAACCTCCGACGAGAATGCTCGGGTGTTATCCCCATTCTGACTCTTGCCTTGGATTTAAACGGTTCATACTTGTTCATGTGTTCTTTAGGCATTTCAGCCGCCACCTCAGCTAAGGGTCCACTGAGCTGCGGCCTCAGCTCTACCATGTATTGGTCGGTAGAGATGCTGTACCCAAGGCAGGCCCTTTCAAAGTTTTCTATGAAGGCCTCAGTATCATCACCTGCCTTGTAGGTGGGGAACTTTCTGGGATGGGAAGTGGTACCTGGAGAAGGATTGCTAGGCTTTGTTGGTATATTCTGCTGAGCCTTTACCTTCTCCATCTCCAGTGCATGCTTCCTCTCTTTTTCCCTCTCCTCCTCCACATGCTTCCTCTCTTTTTCCTTCTCCTCCTTCTCCAGCCGCATGAGCTCTATCTGTCTTTCATGTTCCTTTTGTTTTTCCTGAGCCTGAAATCTGGCTAATTCCAGCTTTTGTTGAGCCGTGGAGTCTGTCATCCTAACCTCTCTGTTTTTAACTAACTTTACACCCGAGGTTTAGAAATAAACAAACAAAACTTGGCTGTAAAATTTTGCTGTGCTGGAATAGGATACCTATTCTCTGATAATGATTGTCAGCCTACAGAAAAAGACAATTCCCTTGTCTCTGCTCTGGCCCCAAATTAAATAAAAAAACCTCCAACTACTTGGAAACCTGCTTACCAGCAGCCTAAAGGAAAAAAAATTCCTTTTCAAACTGGTGCTCCTTGTAAAAAAAGTCAAAATCCTAAAAAAAAAAACAAAAAAACAAAAACCCTGCCACCTTTGTCTCCAGGCAAATGGGTAGAACACCCCCCCCCCCTGTTTACTTTTAGAAAAAATAAAAAAAACTCTGGGTTGGAAGACTGTGAATTTCCCTGCAGGAGTTAAGTACCCTGCCTCCAGGGAAAGAAAACCTGCAATTCACAAAGATAATCCCCTTTTGTCTCTGCTCTGGCCCCAAAGCAGAGAAAAATCTAGCTGCTTTCCAGCAGCTCCAAAGGGAAAAAAAAATTCCTTTTTTAAAATCTGTATTTCTAGTTCAAAAAATCTCAAATTGATCTCAAAATTATTTCCGCTTAATCCCACCACTCTGCCACCATGTCAAGGTTCCCCCCTCACTCTGAACTCTAGGGTACAGATGTGGGGACCTGCATGAAAACCTCCTAAGCTTACTTTTACCAGCTTAGGTTAAAACTTCCCCAAGGTACAAACTATTCCACCCGTTGTCCTTGGATTGGCCGCTACCACCACCAAACTAATACTGGTTACTGGGGAAGAGCTGTTTGGACACGTCTTTCCCCCCAAAATCCTCCCAACCCTTGCACCCCACTTCCTGGGAAAGGTTTGGTAAAAATCCTCACCAATTTGCACAGGTGACCACAGACCAAAACCCTTGGATCTGAGAACAATGAAAAAGCATTCAGTTTTCTTACAAGAAAACTTTTAATAGAAATAGAAGTAAATAGAAGTAAAGGAATCATCCCTGTAAAATCAGGATGGTAGATACCTTACAGGGTAATTAGATTCAAAACGTAGAGAATCCCTCTAGGCAAAACCTTAAGTTACAAAAAAGACACACAGACAGAAATAGTCATTCTATTCAGCACAATTCTTTTCTCAGCCATTTAAAGAAATCATAATCTAACACATACCTAGCTAGATTACTTACTAAAAGTTCTAAGACTCCATTCCTGTTCTATCCCCACCAAAAGCAGCATATAGACAGACACAGACCCTTTGTTTCTCTCCCTCCTCCCAGCTTTTGAAAGTATCTTGTCTCCTCATTGGTCATTTTGGTCAGGTGCCAGCGAGGTTACCTTTAGCTTCTTAACTCTTTACAGGTGAGAGGATTTTTCCTCTAGCCAGGAGGGATTTTAAAGGGGTTTACCCTTCCCTTTATATTTATGACACTGGGTGTAAACTAATTAAGGTGGTGAGATATAATTGGTTACATAATCATGTTATAATATGTTAGGATTGGTTCGTTAAATTTCAGGAAATTGATTGGTTAAGGTATAGCTAAGCAGAACTCAAGTTTTACTATATAGGCTGCAGTCAATCAGGAAGTAAGGGGGGAGGAAATGGGAACCTGGAATGGGGGTGGGGAAATTGGAATCATGTTTTGCTAAGGGATGGGAACAGGGACACAGGTAAGGCTCTGTGATGTCAGAGCTGGGAAGGGGGACACTAAGTAAGGAAACTGGAATCATGCTTGCTGGAAGTTCACCCCAATAAACATTGAATTGTTTGCACCTTTGGACTTCGGGTATTGTTGCTCTCTGTTCATGCGAGAAGGACCAGGGAAGTAAGTGGGTGAAGGAATAAACCCCCTAACATGTTCAGGTTTCCCCTCTGTACAATGGGATTAATGATGCTTCCCTCTTTGTGATCTGATGAAAAGAGTTAGCTATTATCATTATTACCTGGCCACCATAGCATCTCAGCTGCACACCCACATGATAATTACAGCTGCCTCAATAACCACTGCCCCCTACCAACAATATTTCTCTGTTAAAAAAAACACCCCAGGACATTCACTGACAAAAACCTTCATTCGTACAGTGAAAATTGACCAGTGGTTTGATGTGACCTTCTAGAACACAGAGTTTAGCATAACTCAAGCTTATGAAATCCAGGAAACACAGAGTTACATGCCCATGCAGGATACCTGCTCGTGCAACCTTAACTCTCCCCTCTATGAGAGAGGCCCCAATACACACATAACACATAACGCTGCTTTTGCCCTGTACTGAACAGGAGCTACATACACCTGCCCGGCACTCACACACTTAGCGTACTCCACAGAAAGAACATCACAGCTGCTAAATTTTAAAACCCTTTCACCCTTGTGCACACAATGTCATCTCACACTGTACCGTCACTTACCCTTCACTGAACAGACAGACCACAATCTTCTCCCAGCTCACTGTGGCTAACCCCCATGAGCTTGATTATATTACAAACTAAAATGAGACATGTATGGCTCTAGGGGCAGGGACTGCCTTCTTACTGCATGTTTGCAGAGCATCCAGCACAATAAAGCCCCAATGCTTGATTGGAGCCCTTAGATGCTAATAAAATACAAATAAATATACATAAAACAGTGTATTAGCATTAATTTGATTGTATTTTGGTGTTTCCAAACTGTAGCTACATACAACAAATAACTTTTTTTCGGGGGTAGAGGGCATGTGAGGGTGTAGCAGAGGCAAAAGGGGGAGGATGGGCATATGGGAACAAATTAGGGATGAAAACAAGGGAAAGTGGTAGGGAAGAAGGACAGAGGCAATGGTGGGGTGCAGCGATATTGCAGGGCAGGTGGCATTATTGGCAGTGGGGTGGGTTGTTTATGCATAGTGATTGAAGTAGGTTTCAGAGTCCAAAATAGGAAATCCAAAAGGTTCATTATCACATGGCAGGTTGGGAAGGTTCTGGTCCCTGGCTCCCTGCTATTGGCTGATGATGGCTACAGTTGCTTCCAGGGGGATAAGCCTTTTACACCTTGTCCTGGAGGCTGCCCCAATGGTACAGGCCCCTTCCTCCATAGATCAGTGGAAGGTGGGAGCTGCTGGGCCTCGGTCATTACTCTTACAGCCAGGGTCTCCTCAACATGTTGTGTAGTCTAGTAGTCATAGCCTCTCTCTTGGGTGTCTTTCGTTTTGCCATCTGCTCTCTCAGTTTTTCTTCAAACTTCCTGTACTTTTCTTCAGTTCCTCCACCCCCATACGCTCCACCTCAGAATACAGCTCATTGGTGTAGCATATGCCTCCATTCTCCTCCACCATTTTCTCAGTTATTTCCATCAGCTCATTAACCTGCTCGTCCCTCTCTGCTCCAGTTGCTTTGTTGTTGAAAGCGCAGTATCGGTTCTTACACTCTTGAATCAGCTCCTTAAGATTTTTGTTATCTGAGTTTGTCACATAGTCCCTCAGTGAGTCACCCCCTAAATCTTCTTTCCGGGTGAACAGGACAATCGTGTTCCTCTTAGCTTCGACTCCAAAAATCTCCCATACTCGCTTCACTGCTTCCTTGTCTTCTTCAGTGTAATGGCCCAGCTGAGTCACCAGCACCAGAGCATGGGGGCCTGGGGCAGAGAGCAGGATACAATGACTGATCTCTCGATAGGTTTCTGTGTCACTGGCCTCTGGAGAAAATACATCAGGCATATCGATAACCACAACTTCCTTCCCGTTCCAGCTCATGCTCCCTGTACTGCAAGCCTCGGTTACTGGCTTTGCCCCCAGTTTGGAATCAAACACTTTGTTGCCAAGGATGGTGTTTCCCGTTGCACTTTTCCCAGCTCCTTCCTTACCAACAAGGATGAATTTTAATTTGATGTGGCTGCTTTCTTGTGCACCTGTTGGGAAGAATTTTGACAGATTTACTATGTTATTGCATGTATAATAAAGTAAAGATGGTGGGTTTAAGATTTCTCTTAATTAAAACAAATATTTATATAAACTTGCATTAAAACTACAGGCTGCCTGAGTTTCAAGATTTGGGTCTGGATTTGAAACCTCCCTGTGTTTGAATTCAGATCAGAATTCAGGTCCAGGTCACTGGAGCATCCCAGTGCTTTGATACAAATGGATTTTAAGTCACATGTGAAAGGTGCTGCTCTCACCACTATGGTGTAAGAGCTGAGCAGCCAGTTGGCATTTGACATCATCACAGAACTGTAACACAAAAAATATGACAGCCTCTTCGGAATATGAGAGCAGAAACAACGGAGGATGTGGTGTGTTAGCATTGACCTGCATGGACTGAGATTTCTGAGGACTTACAAAAGGAATCAAAGGTTTCAGAGTAGCAGCCGTGTTAGTCTGTATTCACAAAAAGAAAAGGAGTACTTGTGGCACCTTAATAAATTTGTTAGTTTCTAAGGTGCCACAAGTACTCCTTTTCTAAAAGGAATCAAAGGGGATTTAGTGTATCATTATTTCCATTAATAGTTGTGTGGGGTCACAGGTGTACATGGCCAGAAGAGGTAATCTATGGTAATCTAGTGTGAACTCCTGCATAATGCAAGGCAGAGAATTTCAGCCAGTTACCTTTGTATTGAGCCCAGTAACTTGTGTTTACCTAAAGCACGTTCCAGAAAGGCAACCAGTCTCAATCTGAAAATACCAAGAAACAAGGAATTCCCCACTTCCATTGGGAGCTTGTTCCAATGGTTAATTACACTCACTGTCGAAGGTGTGCCTAATTTCTCAACTGAATTTATCTGGCTTTAACTTTCAGCAGTTGGTTCGTGTTCTGCAAGATTAAAGTGTTCTTTGGCACACAGTAATTTCTCCAAATGAATGTATTTATACCCTTGATACTGATTTTGATAAACTAAACAGATTGAGTCTTTAAATCTCTCACTGTAAGGCATTTTCTCCAGCCCTCAAATCCCTTTTGTAGCTCTTTGCTGCACCCTCACCCACTGTATAACATCCCTTTTCTAATGTGAACGCTAGAACTGGATGCATTTTTGATGAGATTACAAGTTGAGTTGATAAAAGAAACTGTATGATGTTTATCCTTAGGCTTCTCTAAGGCGTTGGACTTGGTATTGCATGACATTCTCATGAAAATACTAGATACAACATCACAGCACATGTTAAATGGATTAAAATCTCGTTAATTGACGGATCTCAAAAAGGAGTTTTCAATGGTGAATCATCATCAGATGGGAGTGTTTCTGAGGGGTTTTGTGAGGACTGGGGGTAGGCCCAACATTATTTGATACTTGTATTCAATATCTGGAAGTAAATATAAAAGCACTGAGATAAAAATTGTGGATGACACGAACTCCCAGTCCGACGCTGTGGCAAAAAGGGCTAATGTGATCCTTGGATGTATACACAGGCATAAGGAGGTGATTTTATCCATGTTTATGGCATTTCTCAGACTGATCCTGGAATAGTGCGTCCAGTTCTGGTGTCACCTTTTTAAAAAAAAAAGCTGAAAAATGTAGAGGGTACAAAGCACTACCAAAATGATTCAAGGGGTGGAGAAAATGGCAGATGTTAATGACTTAAAAACCTCTAAGGATGGAGATTCCACCGCCTCCCCAGGTAACCCATTCCAGTGCTTCACCACCCTCCTAGTGAAATAGTGTTTCCTAATATCCAACCTAGACCTCCCCAACTGAAACTTGAGACCATTGCTCCTTGTTCTGTCATTTGCCACCACTGAGAACAGCCGAGCTCCATCCTCTTTGGAACCCCCCTTCAGGCAGTTGAAGGCTGCTATCAAATCCCCCCTCACTCTTCTCTTCTGCAGACTAAACAATCCCAGTTCCCTCAGCCTCTCCTCGTAAGCCATGTGCCCCAGCCCCCTAATCATTTTCATTGCCCTCCACTGGACTCTCTCTAGTTGTCCCCATCCTTTCTGTAGTTCGTGGGGGGTCCCCAAAACTGGACCAAATACTCAAGATGTGGCCTCACCAGTGGCGAATAGAGGAAAATAATCACTTCCATCGATCTGCTGGCAATGTTCCTCCTAATGCAGCCCAATATGCTGTTATCCTTCTTGGCAACAAGGGCACACTGCTGACTCCTATCCAGCTCCTCATCCACTGTAATCCCCAGGTCCTTTTCTGCAGAACTGCTGCACAGCCAGTCGGTCCCCAGTTTGTAGCGGTGCATGGGATTCTTCCTTCCGAAGTGCAGGACTCTGCACTTGTCTTTGTTGAACCTCATCAGATTTCTTTTGTCCCAATCCTCCAATTTGTCTAGGTCATTCTGAACTCTATCCCTACTCTTCAGCATATCTACCTCTCCCTCCAGCTTAGTGTCATCTGTGAACTTGCTGAATGTTCCATCCATCCCCTCATCCAGATCATCAATTAAGATGTTGAAGAAAACCAGCCCTTGGGGCACTCCACTTGATACCAGCTGCCAACTTGACATCGAGCTGTTTATCACTACCCGCTGAGCACCACAATCTAGCCAGCTTTCTATCCACCTTGTGGTCGATTTATCGAATCCATACTTTTTTAACTTGCTGGCAAGAATATTGTGGGAGACTGTATCAAAAGCTTTCCTAAAGTCAAGGTATATCACATCCACCGCTTTCCCCATATCCACAGAGCCAATTATCTCACCATAGAAGGCAGTCAGGATGGCCAGGCATGAGTTGGCCTTGACGAATCCATGTTGACTGTTCCTGATCACCTTCCTCTCCTCCAAGTGCTTCAAAATGGATTCCTTGAGGACCTGCTCCATGATTTTGCTGGGGACTGAGGTGAGACTGACCGGTCTGTAGTTCCCTGGGTTCTCCTTCATCCCTTTTTAAAAGATGGGCATTATATTTGCCTTTTTCCAGTCATCGAGGACCTCCCCCAATTGCCACAATTTTTCAAAGATAATGGCCAATGGCTCTGCAATCCCATCAGCTAATTCCCTGAGCACCTTCAAATGCATTAGATCCAGACCCATGGACTTGTGCATGTCCAGTTTTTCGAAATAGCCCTTAACCTGTTCTTTCACCACTGAGAGCTGCTCACCTCCTTCCCATACTGTGCTGTCCAGTGCAGCAGTCTGGGGGCTGACCTTGTCTGTGAAGACCGAGGGAAAAAAAGCATTGAGTACTTCAGCTTTTTCCACATCTGTCACTAGGTTGCCTCCCCCATTCAGTAAGGGTCCCACACTTTCCCTGACCTTCTTGTTGCTAACATATCTGTAGAAACCCTTCTTGTTACCCTTCACATCCGTTGCTAGCTGCAACTCCAGTTGTGTTTTGGCCTTCCTGATTACACCCCTGCATGCTCGAGCAATATTTTTATACTCCTCCCTAGTCATCTGTCCAAGTTTCCACTTCTTGTAGCTTCCTTTTTGAGTTTAAGCTCACAGAAGATTTCTCTGTTAAGCCAAGCTGGTTGCCTGCCATATTTGCTATTCTTTCTGCACATCAGGATGGTTTGTTCCTGCACCCTCAATAAGGATTCTTTAAAATACAGGCAGCTCTCCTGGACTCCTTTCCCCCTCATATTAGTCTCCGAAGGGATCCTGCCCATCAGTTCCCTGAGGGAGTCAAAGTATGCTTTGTTGAAATCCAGGGTCCGTATTCTGCTGCTCTCCTTTCTTCCTTTTGTCAGGATTGTGAACTTGACCATCTTATGGTCACTGCTGACCAGGTTGCCATCCACTTCTACTTCCCCTACCAATTCTTCCCTATTTGTGAACAGTAGGTCAAGAGGAGCATGGCCCCTAGCTGGTTCCTCCAGCACTTGCACCAGGAAGTTGGCCCTAACACTCTCCTAAAACTTTGTGGATTTTCTGTGCACTGCTGTATTGTTTTCCCAGCAGATGTCAGAGTGATTCAAGTCCCCCATTAGAACCAGGGCCTGTGATCTGGAAACTTCTGTTAGTTGTCCAAAGAAAGCCTTGTCTACCTTCTCCTGCTGGTCTGGTGGTCTGTAGCAGATACCTTCCACTTCCAGTGGAAGACTTATGAAGCTCACTGTGTTGAGCTTACCAATAGAAGATTGAGAGGTGACTTGAGTACAAGTGCCTTCAGGCAGAGAAAACACCAGGTACTAAAGGGCTCTGTAATGTACCAAAGAGAAGCATATAAAGTGCGAATGGCTGGAAGCTAAAGCCAGAGATACTGAAATTAGAAATAAGGCACACATTTACCAGTCAGGATAATTAACCATTGGAACAAGCTACCAAGGGAAGTGGTGGATTCACCATCCCAGCTCATAAAATATTCAGATCAAGATTCAATGTCTTTCTGGAAGAGATGCTTTAGGCAAACACAAGTTATTGATCTCATTACTGGAGTAACTGGATGGAATTCTTTTGTCTCTGCTATACAGGAGCACAGACTAGATGATCTAATGGGTCCTTCTGGGCTTAAAATCTGGGTCTGTGAGGTCCTATTCCCATGCCTAAAACTACACCTGTATGTAACTCATTGAAGCATTGGTGCCTAAGTCAGTAGCGAGTGCAGAATAGATTTCTGAGTGTCACTTACCTTCAGCAGTTTCTTCATTTTCTCTCCCTTTCCTTTCTGGCTGAAAGATTTATAAAAATAAGCAGTTATTTGCAAACATGTTATCAGAGCAAAGAAAAATCATGAATAAGGCTGCAAAAATTCTCCTTGCCATCTCTAAGATTCTTTTTAATGTATTTGTTCAGCAGTGATCAGCCTCTCACTCAAATTGTAATTTTCTGCAATAATTACATGCATCTTCTCTTGAATCATGGTCTTACTGTTCCTTAGAAATGGCTACCCATGAAAAGGTCTTCTGACATATCTGTCAGATCCCAAAACTTGAGACTGGATCAGGATCAGCAGAAACTGCAAAAAATAATGAACAACAAGGGAGATGATCCAGGAAAAGAACAGAGTAAATGGCTTAGAGAAGGTAGGCCAGGCACTTACAGTTATACTAATAATTAAAACATAATCCAACTATTAATAATTAATTAATCCTTAATAAATACCTCGCTCTCATACAGCCTTTTTCATTAGTAGATTTCAAATCACGTTCTAAAGTGTCATAATTACAGTCCTGGGATTACAATCTGGTGAAGGGCTGAGTGCCTTTGGCAAGGTGCCAGACCCCTCAGTACTCAGCCCCTCAAGTCCAGATTCCCCTAAATACCGCAGAACTTTGTTTAGGTCCCATTTGCACAGGAGTAAGTATACTTAAATATGCAAATTCAGAGCTAATCTCATTACCATCATTGCTTCCTTCTTCCCTTGTTTTACCTTTTCCTTGTAGTACTTCTGTATTTCTTTCAGCAGGTTTTCTTCCTGTTCTGCCTCTGTGGCTTTTTGAGCTTCTGACAGCATTTCTAAAGCTCGATATACAGTCTCGCCTAGTTTTAGATGCATTTCCTTTATTTCCTCTGGCCTTGACTTTAAGCCTTCCTTTATATTTTTATATTTCTCCTTGAAGTGATGTATCATATCTTTTACCTTTTCTTCCTCTTGTTCTCTGTATTTTTTCTCAAGTGCCCTCTCCTGTTGTTCAATCTTCTCTTTGGCATATTTGTACATCTCATTGCTGTAAGATCGGCCTCCATTCCCCTGCACCATTTCCTCAATCACTTTCCTCAGTTCATTAATCTGCTCATCCCTTTCTGTGCCAGTTGCTTTATTGTTGAAAGCGCAGCATCGGTTCCCACAAACTTTAATCAACTTCCGAAGATCTTGGTTATCCAAGTCTCTTATATAATCATTCAGTGAGTCACCTTCTAAGTCTTCTTTCCGGCTGAATAAGACAACCGTGTACCTCATCGCTTCAGCCCCAAAAATCTCTCGTATTCGCCTGACTGCTGCCATATCGTCTTCAGTGTAACAGCCCAGCTGTGTAACCAGCACCAGAGCATGGGGGCCTGGGCAGGAGAGCATGATACAGCGAGCGATCTCACAGGCAGATGCTTCAACAGGGGCCTTTGTATCAAAAATATCAGGAGTATCGATAACCACAACCTCCCTCCCATCCCATGTTACCCTCTCTTTAGCACAAGTCTCAGTTACTGACTTTACGCTGAGCTTGGACTCAAACTTTCTCTTGCCAAGGATGGTGTTTCCTGTCGCACTTTTCCCAGCTCCACTTTTACCAACGAGGACAATTCTCAGTTCACGTCCTCCAGGGTCTTGACCATCAGCATGAGAATCTGTGGGAAACAAATGAGATTCAGAACATCATTGCACAGGTAATAAGGTAGCGACAGACAGACTGGAGCTGTGAGGATAACTGTTAATGGATACTTCAGCTCAACTCTCTTGCCTCTGTTTTCTGTCAGTGAATTGTGTGCAAACAGACTGATTTTCTTTCATTTTTATTCAGAATTATTCACTGAATATTTCCTCCAAATAATATTTTATCTGTAGTTTCCTCTTTTTGTACAAGTAGCTCATTGAAACAATTCAATATTCAAAATTTCACTTTCACAGAACACATGAGTAACATGGTATTGTTACCCCTTTTTAGCCTGAGCCATTAGCCAATATGTGAGGCCATGAGGGTCCTTTCTAGTTGGAGGAGAAACTGCTAAGATTGTGGAACTGGATCCCCCCACTTAAACATCTCCCCACATGACCTTACACCACAGAGTTTTTGTCAGACGCTGCCCTCACATTTTCTCTAGCAAAGTTATGAACTCTTTCTATTCTGGGTTGTAGGTGTAGGGTTTCTACATCGTCCAGATGGTTCAAATCCCTCTGTTCCTCTTCAGGGACTCCATTCTAGAGGTTTGCTGGGGTGCTGAGCTCCTGCCCAAACATGAGGAGTTCTGGGGTACGCTTTGAACTCTCATAGCCTGCTGTTCTATGAGCCATCACAAGGAATGGGACATGCTGGTCCCCATCCATTTAGTGTGTTGTTCAACAGTAGCCAGCTGAGCCCCCAGCATCCTATTGAACCTTCCCCCCCTCACCCCCCAACAGACTGTGTGTGTGCTGGGGTGGGGTGAGTTGGGGATCCTTAGAGTCTCACAAACCTGCTGAAACACTTTGGAGTCACAGTTTCTCCTTTGATCCATGCAGTGGCAGATTAGCCAGTGGGCGCCTGGGCCCCATCCAATTAGGGGACCCTGGAAAAATGGGCACCCCACCCCCAGCAGACAAGTGCTGGGGCAGGTCAGGGGAAGTCTTCGCGCCCTGCCCCTACTCCCTGGAAGCAGTGCCAGATGGAGTGGGGGAAGCCCATGTGTCCCAATCCCGCTCTGCTCCCTGGCAGGAGTGCTGGGCAGCCAGGGTGGGGCAGGGGAAGCCCCTGCTCCCCGACTCCGCTATGCTCCTTGGCAGAAGCTCCAGGCGGCAGGGGATGGCCCAACACCGGGACCCCGGCTGCAGCCATAAGACCGGAGGAGCTCTAGCTCCCTGTTTTTGCCTCAGGGCTGGGGAAACTGTCACTCTCTGCTGCGGCCCCAGGGAGCAAACGGGGGGCTGCAGTGTGGGGACGCAGAATGGGGCGGGGCCATGGGTAGAACAAGGGCAGGGCCGTCGGGGAAGGGAGAGAACGGTGTGAGGCCCTGGGCAGGGCCACAGGCGGAAGGGGCAGAATCAGGGTGGGACTGTGGGCAGAAGTTGTGGGGAGGGGGCCCCCCGCTTACTCTGGCCAAGGGCCCCACGGAACCTTAATCTGCCTCTAGTTTCCTGTGCAACTCACTTGGGACCCCAGATCTGGTGAAGAATTCATTCACTAGAACCCCTGCTACCGTCACAGCGCTCTGGATTGCATATCGGATAAGGCTCAGGCCATTTTGTGAAGTATCCGTCGCTACCAGTAAATACTGATTGCCGGCGTCTGTGTCAGGCAGAGGCCCCAGCACACGGACAGCAATGCACTCCCTTGGTGCTCGAGATACTGCTGCAAAGGGCCCTCCCTGTGTTAGGGGCGGCTGCTGTAAGACTTGCGGACGGATAGACCCACCCCATTTGTGAGCCTAATGATGAGAAATTGGGGTGGCCAACCTGAGCCTGAGGAGGAGCCAGAATTTACCAATGTACGTTGCCAAAGAGCCACAGTAATACGTCAGCGGCCCCTTCCCCCCCATCAGCTCCCCCACCCTTCTCCCAGCACCTCCCACACACCAGCAGCCCCGCGGATCAGCTCCTCCCCCTCCCTCCCAATCAGCTGTTTCATGGCGTGCGGGAGGCTCTGGGAGGGAAGCGGGGAGCAGCGAGGGCACGGCAGGCTCAAGGGAGGGGGTGGAAAGGGGTCGAGTGGGGGCAGGGCCTGTGGCAGAGACGGGGTCGAGCAGTGAGCACCCCCCAGCACACTGGAAAGTTTGTGCCTGTAGCTCCAGCCCCGGAGTCGGTGCCTGTACAAGGAGCCGCATATTAACTTCTGAAGAGCCGCATGGGGCTCCGGAGCCCCAGGTTGTATAGCCCCAGCCCGCTATACAATGCTCCTATAGCCCCAGCCCGCTATACAATGCTCCTATAGCCCCAGCCCGCTATACAATGCTCCTATAGCCCCAGCCCGCTATACAATGTTCTAAACAGATGTAACAAGAAATGATGATGGGGAAAAGGTACGAAAAAGGGAGACAGAAAGACAAATTAGCCCAAACGAAAAGGTCTCCTGCTAGAGATTCATAGATTCCAAGGCCAGAAGGGGCCATTGTGATCATCTAATCTGATCCTCTTCTGACAGGTGGAGGGCTGGGTTTACCGGTGGTGTCCCCTAGTGGTTAGGTCACTGGGCCTCCACTCCCCACAAACCTCATCCTCAACAACAACTCTTGCCGACATACCCTCTCGTTGGGTCACCAATTCATGCCCCTTTCTGGAGTTACAGATTTCAAAGAAATATACAGAGTCCCAAGGCCCTACTTGTGGTGAGGATGTAAGTCCACCTCCTGACCCCCTATAGGTGGCTCATCCTTGCCTCGGGACTCTGAATGTCTCTACTCTCTCCTTACTTCTGGGAGGGCATAAACCTCCCTTCCCTGTGACAAGGACCTGGGCCCTCTCTCTCCAACGGGCTCCAACCCAGGGCCCTATGAGAGGCAACAGTATCAAGCACCCTGGAGCACCTCAAGGGTGCCTCCTTGGGCCACTTCCTACCATTCACCTCCCCAAAAAGACTCAAAGTTCAACACAGAGAGGAGAAATCCAGCTGGGCTCAGCTGGTAGCTGTTAGGATATAGATATTCAGGCCTGTCTGCAAAGGCCTGTACTTTAAGAATTTAGGTGTATTCTTATCGCTTGGCTAGTTCTAGAGGTATAAAAGAAAGAAATCACTGTCTGCCGGTGTAAGGGCCTTCTCTTACTGTGACAGTTTGTGGCCCTGTGCTTAGGCTCAGGCCTTTGGCTAAGCAGCAGAGACAGCCATAAGCTGGGAAGCGACCGGTCACATCCTCACATTCCAAACTAGTCACATTGAAATAAGGTGCTATTGGGCTGTTAGGCACTATCAGGACAGGATTGTATTCCTATCACCTCCAGAGAAAGGGAAGTGCCTAGAAAATGTAAAAGGAAACTTAGTTTGATAGCATCCTGTCTGGCAAGAACTCACTTATCAATAGCTGGGATGTGAAATCCTCACTTCTGTATTGTTTTGTCATTATAGTTCCCACTTTGCTGTTGTTTGTCTGTATAATCTCTGTCTGGTTCTGTGATTGTTCCTGTCTGCTGTATAATTAATTTTGCTGGGTGTAAACTAATTGAGGTGGTGGGATATAATTGGTTACATAATCATGTTACAATATGTTAGGATTGGTTAGTTAAATTTCAGGAAAATGATTGGTTAAGGTATAGCAAAGCAGAACTCAAGTTTTACTATATAGTCTGCAGTCAATCAGGAAGTGAGTGGGTGGGGGAAATGGGAACAGGGAATGGAGGGTGGGGGAAATGGGAACAGGGAATGGGGATGGGGAAATTGGAATCATGTTTTGCTAAAGGGGGAAATGGGAACAGGGAATGGGGGTGGGGAAATTGGAATCATGTTTAGCTAAGGGCAGGAATGGGAACAGGGACACAGGTAAGGCTCTGTGGTGTCAGAGCTGGGAAGGAGGATACTAAGGAAGGAAACTGGAATCATGCTTGCTGGAAGTTCACCCCAATAAACATCGAATTGTTTGCACCTTTGGACTTCGGGTATTGTTGCTCTCTGTTCATGCGAGAAGGACCAGGGAAGTAAGTGGGTGAAGGAATAAGCCCCCTAACAGTAGCCTCTTCCTGAGAGCGAAGGCTTCTGCAATTCCCTCATTTGGGAGCTCTCAGGATAGGTCTGTCCACTTCTGAGCTGTCTGGCTCCCTTTTAAGCTCCTCCTCCAGCAGGAGCAGGCTGTACAGGTGGCGGGGTCAGAGATACCTGGGCCCAGAACTTCTCCTTAACTCCTTCAGTTCCAGTGTGGAACTATATACCCCATCACACACTGTATAACACAGGCCATAGAATCCTCCCAAAATGATTCCTATCACAGATTTTTTAGAAAAACATCCAGCCTTGATTTAAAAATTACCAGTGATGGAGAATCCACCATAACCCTTGGTAAATTGTTCCAATGGTTAATTACGCTCACCATTAAAAACTTATGCCTTATTTCCAGTCTGAATATGTCAAGCTTCAACTTCCAGCCATTGGATTGTGTTAGACCTTTCTCTGCTAGACTGAAGACCCCATAATTCAATATTGGTTCCCCATGTAGGTATTTATCGACTCTAATCAAGTCACCCCTTAACCTTCTCTTTGTTAAGCTAAATAGACAGAGCTCCGTGAGCTTACCACTATAAAGGCATGTTCTCTAATCCTTTAATCGTTCTCATGGCTCTTCTCTGAACCCTTTTCCATTTATCAACATATGGGCATCAGAACCGGACACAGTATTTTAGCAGTGATTGCACCAGAGCCAAATCCACAGGTAAAATAACCTCTCTGCTCCTACTCAAGATTCCCCTGTTTATGTATCCTAGGTTCTAATTAGAAAATTTGGCCATAGTGTCACACTGAGAACACATGTTCAACAGATTATCCACCAGGACCCACAAATCTTTTTTTTCCAAGAGAACACTGTTTCCAAGGATAGAGTCCCCCACCCTGTAACTACAGCTTACCTTCTTTGTTCCTAGAGGTATACATTTGTGTGACAGGGTGCTGGCTAGGAAACCCTGAGCCAGCCTTCTGTCACGCCAGCTCCAACCAGGAAAGGGGAATTGGAGCTGC